GGAAAAATTGTAATGAATTTTGCTATTGTCTGTTGATTTGAACAACCATCAGGATTAGTTAAAGATTCTCGTTGATTAAAAGAGCTTTTCTATCGAAGGGACATAACATGTAAGCTAGACTCAAGACCCATCAATTGAGATTAGAATCATAGTATAGGACATCACGTTATATAGAAACATCATCATGACATGATAGAAAAAGTGCCCCCTTGACTGAAGCACCACCAAACCAAATAATCAGGAAGATGACATGATGGCCTAGAACGCATTTCTAAGGCCTAGGTATCATGACGATTCCATTGCAATTGAACTAATCAATCAATCACGTTCTTTCAGAAAGAACAATGGTACACAACCTCTATATTCAAATATTGTATCTTGACATGATCAAGACGCAAGCTCGACTCAATCAACATATATAAAGGGACAAAGTGTTAATGAGAATGAAGTTTGAACTATAATTATAAAATTGTACAATATAGTGTTCAAATATCTTCAAGTCGATTAAAAAATGGAGCACCTTTTTTGCCATCAACAAATTTATTAAACCTATATATTTGATCAAAGTAACTAAAAATAAAAATTAGATAAATTCAAGTTCTCATTCCATTATTCTTCTTCCTTTTTCTTCCTTAATTTTGCTGAAAGCTTTCCCTTTCTTTACATACACAGCTAAAAAGGGAAATGTTCACTAATGCAAGCTTTATAGATATTAGAACATATAATCAAGACTTCAAATCAAGCACAGATTTTATGGTATTACTAATGCGATTTTATTAGAATCATCAAACTTTATTCGACCAACTTTGGAGATCAAATTAATTTGGCCACTCGACATTAAAGTTGAGAAATTAATATATCTTAAAACCTTATTCCACTTTTCTTTCTTTTTTCTGTTTTTTTATTTTGGGAAATGCTATGGTTAATTAACCTGGCGCAAACATTGATTTGGAAACGATAAATGGTCGAACTCAAGTTGAATCGATAATAAAATAAACTTATCTAATAAATAAAAATAAAATTTCGAGGGCGAACCAAATAGTTGTTTTTTTTTTTTTTTTTTAACAAATTGAAAAGTTATACTTGAACTCATTCTGATCACATTGACTCAAGGTTGTATATCAATTAGTGCACATTGTGTTGCTCAACAAGCTTCGATCAAAAGTAGATTAATGTGACGTACATGAATATAAACACTACCATCTACCAAGTGGTTGCAAACAATTGACCTAGAGTGGTGATTAGTATTTTCGAAACGAATTCAACAATACCCCATTTGAATGCAGAGGCTATGGCTGTGCACGATGGACTGATGATAGCCCGGTGTTGTGCCATGAACTTATCGGTGAAGAAGTGTGATTCCTTCAGGCAGTATAAAGCATAAAATCAGATTTTCGTTGTGCTCCAAATGCACCTATTTCATTTGATAATATCTCAACATTGGTGATTTTGGTTCTTGTAACCTTATTTTTTGAGTGAAGTAAGGTTATCCACAATATTGCTTCAAATGCTTCTATAGCTTTTGATACTTAGACCAATTGTATTTCGCATTTTATTTCGACTACAGTTTGTGACGAGCTTATTAATTGAAGTGTCGTGCCTTGCCATAAAAATGAAGATTATATGATATAATCCCATGCGCGCACACTCACGAATATAAACACCACCTTGTGTGGAGTGTTAGTATTTTAGAAACACCTTTCATATAATGATTTCTAAGGGCAAGTTTTGAAGCACCTTTGTTTTTGTTTCTGCTTCTTGTACAAGAATTTCAGATTAGCTTCCTTTAAAAGCTTTTTAAACAAGATAAAATATTTTTAAGAAATTATTCAAACATGTTAAAAAGTAACTTCTTAATCTTAAAAGTAGCTTTTGACTTTTCTAAAGCCCGTCACACAAACCCTATATCTAATATATCCTTCATAATGAGCATGGACATGGAGGGCAAATATTGGTCCACCATAATCTAATGAAAAGATTGGGGGGGACATCATTTAAGAAGAACATATGCCACAATCCACTCTCTAATTTATATAGACATATATTTGTTCTGCATATTGCAATATAATTTAAGATAAAAGCTTATGAAGATGAGATATAAAAAGCTAAAACTTTAGCCACTTGCAGGCTTCTTTATTTCATGTCATGATGTATTTGAGGGCAATCATTTTCCCTTTTGATTAAATACATTACCACGACAAAATAAAACTTTGCCATTTTAGCTCATCTATCTGTAAAAGTTGTAAAATAAAATGATGCAGTCTTAGATTTTTTGTTTGGGAGATTTTTTCCAAGTGAAAAATGATTTATTTGAGAATGAGTAGTTAAAAAGTAGAGAAAAATTATGAATCTCATAAAATATGTGGTTGAAAATTAATTTTTCAAAAAGTGATTTTGAAAAAATCTCTCCCAAACAAGACCTAACTTAGGATAAGCAATAGCCACTAAAGAATTATCACCATGTAGCTCAAACACTAGGTTGAATTGATTCGAAGGTTGCAGAACTTAACAAGAGAAAATGATTAAATGCTTACTCTTGCTTATACTTTTCCTAGTAATCTGTCTCAACTCCCAAGCCTCGATAGATGGAAAATAAATTTTAAAGTAATGTTATCTAGCACCACTATATGTGACCGTATGGTCCATTGTTTGTAATTGGGGGATCAATTGTAATTTTTTTAAATTTCATATAACCTGATGCTAAATAGAATTAACCTAAATTTTAATACTCCGTTACATGATGGTATAGCTTGTCGGTCGTCCCTTAATAGTGACTAGATGCATCACATCAAGAAATGCATTCAATAGATGTTGTAATGAACTAAAATGAAAGGGAAAAAAATAGTGAAATGACTAACGTTAAATTTACTAATAATTTTTATTTGAAAAAGAATGAATGGCTAATACACGTCAAACCTACAAGTTTGAATTATTTCGTAAACCATCTAAAAATCTTGAGTTATCAGAGAAAATTTGATGAGATTTGGCAAGACTTGAATCCTACCATGTTAAGCTATTAGCAAGTAATCATACATACGTAAATTTTCTTAAACTGTTTCATCCAAAAAATCTTAAGATATTAGTAGGAAAAGAAGAATAAATTCTCTAAAAGTAGTCCTAATTTTCGCAAGGAACGCTTCATTTTTAATAATTCTTACATCAGTAAGAAGTTAAATGATGAGAATCTTGCTCTCATGCAAGTGAAACAAAATTAACAGTAGAATTATGATAATTGAAGAGAATAGATGCTTTAATAATCACCAATCAGAAAGTAGTAAAGAAAAAGAATGTAAAAATGATGAAATTTTCTTGAGATTCTCTATTATTTAAAACAATGATCACAACCCGCACGAGCCTTTTCATTGGATTCCCTTATTGATGTTGGCTAAGCTCAGACATATAGATACCCACCATCTGACACCCATAATTTAGCCCATCAGCATTAAAAACATCAATCTTGACACACTTTGGTTTCCACAGTGATTTTATTATTATTTTTATTTTTTAACCGAATCATCGTCTAAAAACTTTTCAATCACTTCTTTCATGTGCAGGATGTTTATACAATTTTCATTAACGGGGTATGAAAAGATTTGCTCCGGGACCTTTATCTGGTCGGGTAGTATCATTTTAGTGCTCAAAATTCAGAAGAAATGGAGGATAAGGATTGAAGATAGTAAAACAAGAGTGAGGCTGCCATGACATGTATCTGTTGGAAATAAAAAAAAATTATGGGATGAAAGGTTAGAGACAAAAATTCAGAGAATTCTTAAAAAGATTTGTATTCTATGACTTGGCTCATAAAATGTATTAAGCACAAAGCCTTTTATAGGTACAAAGGATCCCAAATATATTGTATGAACTTAAGAGACTAATTAATGACTTTTCCTATATAATATGAATAATAGGATACAAAGAACCATTTGGATACATGATTTAAATAAATGCATGAATATTAAGTAAACTAATTCATGTATTAAATTTAATTTTTTCCATTATTCATGAATCAAGTTTAATTTTCAACAGTATCAAACTACATTTACGTTCCATTGCTTTTTTGGGAAGCCCTTTTTGCATTAGTGAAGTTTGAAGAAGACAATACTTCATACTTGTGTTGGGTGCAGAGTACGTGAAGATGGGACCTTCAATTGCAGTCACAATCATCGAATTACTGGCGGAACTTGATAATTTTATCCCGTACCCAATAATTCTCCTCGTATACTGGACCAACCCTTATTCCACGTTTTAGTGTGTGAATGCTGGATGTAGAATGTCAAAGTTATAAGGCTACTAGAAATCTAAAAATTGATTGTCACACTTTTTTACCCAATGTCTAGTGAGATGTAACATAGTCGAGAAAGGTGTACATTAGATGTTTATGTTAGTGCACTTATTTTATTTGTGCAAGGCAAATATAGAACAGTAAGAAAATGACAGTATTTTTGGAAGGACCTTGCAGGCCTGCATGTTTGTTAATTTCTTTGCAATATTCTATGAACATTCAGTGCTGTTCTCAGTTTGCAGACGAGGAGTAGACATAAAATTTTCAAGCATTATCAAAGACGACAGTCGCGCAGGGTTATTATCTATCGTTCGTCTCTATGGTAGAATCAGCTGGGGAGAACTTAAGTAAAATATAGCAGCATTCTTTCACTTCAAATTGACTTAAAAAAATTAAATAATTGTAATAATAATCATGCATATAAAATATAAAACACAACCATGCCATCAAATTGCGCTCTTTCAAATTTCACAAGTCAGAAACAAATTTAAAGAAAATCACACAAGTTACAAGCCCAGCTAAAAGTTTAGCACATCAGTACTATTTTCCCTACACGCCAGAAAATAAAAACCTAAAACAAGGCTAATTAAAATCTTCTTCCAATTTCTAAAACCACTCAAAAAACTTAAGTCTCACACCAATCTAAGATCAAACAAAAAGTGACATATATATTACAGTGAAGACAATCTTGTAAATTATGAAGACCTTCATTTAAGTATCAGGCTGAGATTCCACGAAGAGCGAAATAAAAGAAGAGCTCTATATCTGGAGGATCAAAGAACGTTATTGGGCTTCTTCGCAATGAACAACTTGTAACTATTTTTCGTTTCTTTGGTGCGGGAGGGCAAGTTGTAATCTCCGGTATTCGGAATCTCTCAGCCTTAGGAGTGGAACAAGCACTACTGGTACTGGTTGACAACATATCAATACTTTGATCACAGTCGATGGAGCCAGAATCTATCTTCACTGAATCATTCGAAGAGGGCTTGGCCGCGGACGTGGAAGAAGGTGAAGAAATGACTGAGATTTCTTGGTTCTTCTTTGAATTTTGAGGCTTTTTCTTGAAAAGGGTTTTTCTTGACGATGATTTTCTTGTGCTTCTGGTTCTTCTTCTACAGGATGGACCCATTTGAGGGAATTATGGAGATAAAGTGGAATGAAGTGCCAAGGCTATAAATTATATAGATAGAACATTCAGCTGAAATCTTTACTGATCATAGCAAAATTGAAAGTACTGCCAAAAGTGAAAAACAGAATCACCATTTCTAGAAAACTTGTAAGAATTACTTTATGAAATTACTTATATTTTGACTGAAAAAGTAATAAAAGTCGAGGGACTACTACTTTGGAAACAAAGCTGCCAAAAAACCCTAATCACTGCAGTCTTGAAATGGAAAGAAAAATAAAATTGAAAACCCAATAAATATTCTCAAGATTGGACCAAAAGAACTCTATTTAACAAACGAAAATGAAATAATCTAGCTTATGTTACTTATTATCTAAATTGGAAGGGGAAAAAAAAAAAAAAAGGAAGAAGAAGCAAAAAAAAAAGAAAAAAAAGAAAAAAGAAAAAAAAAAAAAAAGGAAGAAGAAGCAAAAAAAAAAGAAAAAAAAGAAAAAAGTACAAAGTATAGTGGCCTTAAACTTCTAATGGAAATGAAAAGAAGACGGATTAATGGATTCAATTCAAAACCCATAAGCAACTGGGAGAAGGAGAGGGGGACTTGTGCTCCATTTTGAGTTTGTTTAGGGTTTTGTTTGCCTTGTTTTTGCCATATTATTTTTATAAGAATGTATTTTGAATAGTGTATTGATGAAAAATATGTAGTTAATGAATAAAGAAATGTTTTGAATTTACATATAATATTATTTTATCGAAAAATGTATGATTGAAATAATGTCAAATCACTGTTTAAAATTATATTTTTTTAAAAGATTTTGAATCAAACAGGGATTTTATATGGAAAGGGAAGGGCAGGTTGCCCGCTGCCCAATAGAGGATTAATGATTAACAAATGTTAAAGCATGTTTATAGTAAACTAAAATGAGTATTAAATGGTGAAATTCAAATTGAATACTTTTGCTTTATCCTTACTTAGCCTTAATTTAAACCGCCGTCGTTGCCCCCACGCAACACCACCTCAAACCGCCGTCGTCACCCCCACACAACACCACCACCACCACCAGCACAACCAAAATCGTCACAATGACCGTACCGCCCCCCACGAACACCACCACCATCGCACCGCCCCCACCAGAAAAAATCCCCAAGCTGCCACTGGACTCTACCACCATCCCGCCGCCCGTATCAACACCTCCACTTAGTCACAACACCAGCACATACAACCCACCACAAACACATCACCACCACCACGAACAACCACCGCCCACAGTACACACACAATACCACCACATCACAAGCCCACGACACTGCACAACCACAACACACAACACAATAGTCAATCACGGCCAGATCCACCGTCGTAGCCCACAATCCAACAACCATTTACCAACAAATTTAAAAAAAAAACCCACCGATTGGTGCCTTGGCGAAGCTCGGATACATCGCAGATCCTCATGGCGACGATGGTCTGCATTATCTGGCCGGCGATTCATGCTTCTTCGCGCCGGGGATGCCGTGGGTGGTGATGGCGTCGTGGGTGGTGATGGCGCCGTGGGTGATTGGGGCAAGGGAGAGAAGACGGTGAGAGAGAGAGAGTGAGGATTGCCGAACTGGGGAGAGGGAGAAAATGATAGGGTTTGGGATAAAAAAATGTATATTTAATATTAATATTTAAATATGCTAATATCTGATTTTAGAAAGATTAAAGTTCCCATCTGGTTTCAGAATTCATGATTTTAATGGTAGGCTTTTGTGTAATTACCACTAATTTAAATTGGTATTTAAAGTTCAATTATATTGCTATAATTCGAATTTGTTTAAGAGGAAGAGTCCACCATTCTTCTCGTAGAATGGAAATTTAATTAATCTGAATAGCTACAAAATAATATAAAGAAATTTATTTTCAACTGATTATGACTATTCACAAGGCATGACGGTGCAATTGCAAAAGGAGGAATTTAATCGCCCAGCAAGTCAAAGATCATAACCATGCGATTGCATGAAATTACTCGACAGAGAAGATTTTCTTTCCTAATCAAAAATTAACTCTACATGGAAGGAATGAATGGAGAACGAATTCGACCTAAGTTTGGAACTATAAATTCAAGCTTTAATCTATCATTAAATTAAATGAAGGAGAAGCTTTTGAGAAATAAAAACATATTCTATACAAAAATTACATACAATTACTTGGATTTTGAAGATGAATGAGATTCAAGAAGATTATTTTAGAGTTGTTGAAGACGTTAAAAAATTCAAGATTATTTTTAGTCTTCTTTCTACACGTGAATTTCAAGTGATGTGGCATCAATCAAATTGGTATATTTATAATCTCATGATGTTCGAATAATTATTCAGATGCTAGGATAACGATTACAATTTGATGCAATTTTAATACTTATTTTCTGACTTTAATTGTTTGTTTAGTGTGAATGAATTTTAGAATTTTAACGCTTTTCAATTAGTTGGCCAGTAATTGATAAGATTTGTGATTTCTATTTCATTTGAGAGAAGTAAGAGTTATAACATGAGTAACGATCATTGTAAAGTTTAATAAAGGATAAAAATATATTGTTATACTTTGCATGATCTAATTGTATATTCTTATGATTTAATGCATTTTATGTGTTTGCATATTTTAATTCATAAAGATAAATTAAGCTCAAATGTGAGTATATATTTAATATTACTCGAGGGAAATCATTAAATGAATAAATGACATTGAGTACTGTTGTCAAATTCTTGAATTGTTGTGAAAAGGGAAGAATATAGGAGGATTCAAGGTCCTAATAAACTTAATCAATCAAGATGTCATAAACACTCCCGAGTTCAGTTAAGAAGATTTACAGTTCTTGGTTATAGATTGTAATTTGCAAATATCAATCATTGATCAAACTTTGCTATTTGATTAAAGTTATTAATAATTGGGATCAAATTAAATATGTAGTACCCATGATAACGATACTTTTCTACTTACTACTCTTTATTACTTGGACTACGTTGCGAAATTTTAATGAACAAGTTCGAAATTGCTATAAGTTGGTTTTGTAACGTGTGACAAAATGGAATGATTTTAATTTTTAAGTGATAAGAAAACAAATAATTTAGACATGAACTTGAATTCCACACAAGAAATTAGGACACTGTAAATAATTTGATTAGGTGTTCAGCTTTAAATCATTATCTTCTCAATCATCTGAAGTAATTATAGTTTTAAACTATTTCTAATACTTAATTTGAATAATCCATTAAGTTAAAAGAAAATAATAAAAAGTGCAATGCCCAGTGTGTGTTACAAAACTCGGGCAATGCAATCCAACAATAGAAAATCACACAAAACTACAAATCAAAGTTAAGTTTATTACACTTATCATACCTATTGTTTTTATTGTTAAATTATGGTAGACTATATTTGATAACGCATATTAACAAAAGGTCACACGTCACGTCAATATTTTCGTTAGCAAAAGTTCTACCATGGAAATCTTTCGACTAATTTTTGAAAGCCTTTTTCATACTCGATGAAAGTTATTGGCAAAGTATGTATTCGTGATTACCTCAACAACAGTGATACAAATATATGTTGGTAATAACAAATAGAATTGCCATAGTTGATGCCATCGGTATGAGCACGTATGGTTATCTTCTTTTAAGATAGAGATGACAAAGTGACAAATCGAGGTCGGGCAAACAATATCATTCTCTTCGATTGAAATTTTTACATGGTGGGATGGGAATTTGGGTCGGGGCTCATATTTCAAGATCCTGCCCTACTTATGAATTGAACATAGTAAAACAAGAAATTAGTTTTTTTTTTCATTAATTGTAATTTTGAAAGCCATCCTTGAATATTTTATTTTTGCCTCTAAGATCATGCACATAAGGATCAACTCCCGACAAGTCTACCCACTGTCCTAGAAAAAATAATAGGTAGCTTAAAGTCCAAATTAAGAATTTGAATAAATTGAAAAATAAGTACCACAAAGGGACAAATATCAACACATTATTCAGCCAAATCGCGGCCATTTTTGAATAAATAAATAATTAATATAACCTGATTGACATTTTCTTATCTGTGCTGTGCAATGTATTTTTATTTTTAATTTTAAATTCAATCTACGAGACAATTAGAACATTGGATCCCCCAAAAATAAGGTAAAATCTTAGTACATAATGTATTACACACACGTGCACTTCACTGAATTTCTTGAACTTTGGGATGCAAAAGTTCAAATAGACAGAATAAGCCCAAATTTGGAGCATTCTAAGTCTTCACGTGTTTTTCTGACTCTTTTTTATTTTTTATCTTTTATTTTTTTTTTATTGGTAAATTTGAAAAGGGTATCAAAAGAAAGAGGCGGAATTAAGATACAAACATATTTGTCAGTTATTTTTATGATATTTATTCAATTAAACATGCTAATCATATTTAGATGGACTTTGAGAAAAAGGCAGGCAAGAAAAATTATCCTTAGATATCAATTATGTAGTAAAAATTCAATGCTTGTAAGGTATTCACTATAAAATAATTCTATTTATACCGAATTGATGGTACTGAAAGTTGTCCACTCTCTCACAATGCATGTGGGCCCAATGTGAATATAAAAATTCCTAAATGTGATCCCCACCCTATTGTGAGTAATAAGTAAAGAATTAGGTAAAAAAAAATTATGTACAGATAACATTGTCCTTCACTATCATATTTAGAGAACTTCTATTTAAATCAGTTAGTTATATGCGCGTTGCACATTATGCCGTGTAAACTTCATTCTTCCTCGTCCACAAACAGCCTCATAAAAATAAACAAGCATAATTAATGTGTTTTTCGTGTGAATTCTTAAAAAAAAAAATTGTGCTGAATATATTGGGATTTACCATGTATAAGATGGTCGAGAAACAGATCTTATAATTAATAAATTTTGACATCCTTTACTGTTTAATAAGTTGGCAACAATAAAATGATGATCCTTAGGATATTTTATTAATAAAATGACACTTGTATTATT